CTCGACAATCGCCTCCGACTTGGAAGGCTTGGCGACTGCCACCAGCTTCCTTGCTCGAACCACCAGCGCCGAATCATCGCCCACATTTTCCTCTTCTTCTTCCCCCAGCTGGTGGACCGACTCAACAGTCACAGGGATGAGATTTCTCCTACGTCTTTGGGCTGGAGCCCTTTTAGGTTGGGGGTCCTCGGACTCCAAAACCCTCTTTCTCTTATTATCTTTCCCCGACTTCGGAATTGGGGACTCGACCTCTTCCCCAGGTGAGGTCGGCCTCATGTCAACAACATCTCCAAGGCTTTCATAAAAGAGAGTCAAGTATAAATCAAGAGAAACGTTGCCGAGAAAGGCATCGAAGGCTTACAGGATAAACTTACCATGATTCTTGGCTTCCCATCTACCCTTTGCCAAGTCACGCCAGAACGCTCGGCATGGGAGGAAGTCGAGGCCAACTTCGAAACCCAGTCTTCGAGGTAGGGGACCGCATAAGGCATCCAAGCAACCGCTTCATAATAGATGAAGGCATTACACAAAGCAAAAAACAAAGTACGAAGACTAATGAGTAATACGTTACTTACAATCGGGGTTCCACTTCTCAGGGAACGACAGTTTTTCCTCTTGGATGAGGTCGCAGGTCCTTACCCTCACGAACCAGCTCATCCAACCCCGGTCCTTGTCCTCATCGATGCTCGCAAAAAAGGACTTCGTTGATCGGCGTTGGAGCTTGATTAATCCTCGAAAAAGTCGAGGTCGATACAACCGTATGAGATGGCTGAGAGTGAATTCCAAACCCTCGACCTTGCTAGAAAAGAAGCGGAGCATGATCACTATACGCCAAAACGAGGGATGAACCTGGCCGAGGGTGACCTGGTATCTTTTGCAAAAATTGATGATAACTAGGTCAAGAGGACCCAATGTGAAGAGGTAAGTGTAGACACTTAGAAACCCCTCCACATGGGTGGTAATACTCTCTTCGAAAGCGGGGATTTGTACCACGACCTCGGCCCCCCAGTTACAGTCTCTCTTCACAGCCTTGAGATGGCCCGCCTTTATCAAGCAGATATATCTCGACACGTGTTCACATCGGCCAGGGACCGACGGAGGGTTCTCGACTCTGAAGTCGGATTTTAAGATACAAGGGCCGTGAACTTACTCGTGAGGGAGCGGTTCCACCAACGTTTTGTCACCGGCTGGCCGTGAAGAAGAGGAAGAAGCTTTCTCTTTTTGTGGGACGGTCTTGGAGGTTTTCACCATTGATTCAGGTAGAAAGAAGCAGAAAGAGATGAAAAATGGTATATTTGGTGCTAACTAAGTTGATTCAATGGGTGGTGAAAGAGAAGAGATGGAGAGAGTAAGGAACTTAGAAAACTTGGTGGAGGCGAAAGTAAAATTTGATTCAACCGAAGAGCCTGAATTTATAGATTCACGGCGACGGTTTGGTAGTGCTAGAGGCTGACCGTCACTGGCAAGCATTAATGGTTTGGGGAACTGTACTGACAGGACGTTTCGGTTACTTCGATCGCTTACGTCACGGGGATGACATCATTATCAGGGTCTCCAGAAAACTGAGGCTCAATTTGTTTCTTATTGTTTTACTCTAAGAAACGACGGAACTATTGATGATAGACTATAATTACGTATTTTAGTCGATTATTACACTCTAATTTACTGCACTTTAGTTGAGTTTGCTCTTTAATCGCTAGTGTTTTGCACTAAGTGTGTGTTTTATGCCTTGTAGGAGTGATTCCGAGCTATGTAGATGTTATGGAATGAATTCAAGTGATTTGGATCTTTGAAGTCTGAGTAAAAGCCCAAGGAATTAAGCCGGGATCGTATTCGAGGATCAACGGATGATAGAGCAACAGAAACGAAAAATCGAGTAGGCATATTGCGCACTATCTATTAAAATGCACATAACCTTTCGCTCAGGACTCCATTTGGGCTCCACAATATATTTTTGGAAAGCTAACTCAAAGGGCTTCAACTTTCGTGTTTTATGTTTTTCCAAATTCCAAACAGAACAGGGTGAAAAATGTGCGACAAGTGCTCCGCGGTCAGATCCGCGGCCGCAGACAGAACACTGGTCAAATCCGCGGCCAATCCGCGGCCGCGCACGTCCTATCGAGGAAAAGTGTTCCTTTTCGCGTAGGAGAAGGTATAATTATTTGGGCCCGACCCTACTTGGTATATATACATGGAAGAACGGTATTTTGAGGACGTTTGACATACTTTTGACATAATTTAGACCTAAGGAGGCCAAGGAGACCGGAGATTCAACTTAAGGAGGCAAGAACACACTAGGAGCAAGGCGGAGAATTCTTCTCGAGTTCTTCACTTTCTTCTTCCTATTTTCATTATTGGTTATGACTTTTAGTATTGTAATTTTACATACTATTATGAATAGCTAATTTGTCATCTAGAGTTTGGTTAGAACCTTTTGTAGGATGAATTCTTGTTAGGTTTTTAATATAATTTAGCCTTTGAATTTATCTATTTGTTCAGCTACGTGTTTATTTCAGTTGATTGAATGGCCATCGATTGACTGTGCCTATTTATTATGTGTTGCTTGAGAAAGGATACATATTTAGGTGGTTGTTGAACAATGTCACTCCTAACGTCTGTGAGAAATCAATACAGCGGGTTTAAAGGCAGGTTTAGAAATAACAAAGCCTTGACGTGGTCATAATGAGCGGTTAGATAAATCCAACTAGCGTAGCTCGAGAGAATATGTCTAGTAAATTATTGTAGTTGCTCGAGAGAGAATTACGGCACCTAAAGTGCTCACGATCAGTAGAAAATACATTGGCAAAATTGTAGGGAACATAACTAGAAGGATTCCGACAATTGGGGAAATCATAACTCTAGACCTCCTTAATTTAGTCTCCAACCCTTTGTCTCGTTAGTTGATAATTTTACCGCTTTCTAGTATTTGCTAGTTAGTTAGTTAGATATATAAATCTCAATCTTTATAATTTAGAAAATTATTCAAACATGTCTTTTTAGTGATATTAAACAGATACAGCTAAGACTTAGTTCTCTGTGGGATTCGACTCCGGACTTTTAGACCGGATTATATTTGCAGCGACCGCTTATCCTTTTTAGGACTAGAGTTGGGCGTGATCAACTATCTGTATACGGTGGAAATCGGGACTACTCGATTTCATTCCTTGGTCGAGATAGGAACGTCACGTCAAAGAGCTATGACATCGAGTCCGGGTCGAGGTATACCTCGATTGCGGATAGAAAGAGGCAGACTTCGAGTGACACTGGCATGGCTTGATAATGGAAAAGGCGATATATCGGCGATTGGTAAAGAATCGCGGCAAGAATCTCGGAACGGACGATCTACAGCGGTTAATTAGATATTAATATAATTTCCTACTATAATTAGAAGTGTACCTTATTTAGGACTCATCTATTATATAAAAAGAGATCCCGTTCATTTGTAAGGGGCATCATTATTCACTGATAAGAATATATACTCTCATTACTTTCTTGCTATTTTGCGTACTGTTCATCAGAGTTGCTTTATCATTTGTTATTCTTATTATCACATCTCGAGACTACCACAAGTCGAGGTCGAGATTTGGCTAGCATACTGGTTTGATTTATTTTATCCTCTAATTTATTCATTTATTTTCTTGCTTATCGATTGGTACTTGACTGAATCACATATCCTTAAAACCATAATATAAGTTTAATTGTTACTCGAATTTTAGGGTAAACAGAATTAAATACGGCTATTCCACCAAAACAAAAAAAAAAAAGGAAAAGTGGAGCAACATGCACAAATTTTAGTTAATGTAAAACATGCAATTAATTAAGAGGTTCCTTAGCAAACACAGATTGTTCAATCACATTCCTTTACAAAATTGTTTGGTAAAGTTTTAAATGATCTCAAACGTCCTAAACTTTAGGCACCTAAAGTTTACAATTTTATCCAACATGAAGTTATTTAATGAAAGAATGATTTTAATTTTAAAGGCATAAAAGTCTATTAATATTTCAAGGATATTTTCGTCGTTCAATATTTAGCGTGAAATATTCGTGTTATAATAATATAGAATAGATATAGATATAAACAGATATATAGCCCGTTTGGATTAACTGATTTGAAATAGCTGATAAGCATTAGGAGCTGAAAAGCACTTTTTAGTGCTGAAACTGATTTAATAAATAAGCAATTACATGTTTGGATACAAGTGCTGAAATTGATAATAAGCTGCTGCGTATTTGCTAAAAAAGTGTTGATAAGTTCTTTTTATGTTAAAATGACTTAAATAACCTTAGAATTGTTTACACTTATAAGGACGTAATTTCTTTAAAATTTTAGATTCCAAATCGATCCAGATACAAAATATTCTATTTGTCATTTTATTTTAAATACAATTGTGCTTAGATAAGATAACTTTTGTGATAAATATAATTTATTTTATGATAAGCATGTAATCATAAGTTATAATAATTAATTAATTGATAAAGTTTCTCAGTAAAAAATAAACCTAAATAGGACAAAATATTTGAAAAGAAACAGACATTGATACACCAAAAATTTGATATGTCCTCATTTATTAGGTTGAAATAGTACTTGAGGCAGTGAGTATCGACATCATAGTTTTGTTATAAAAACGAATATTTTAAGGATAAAATAGTAAAAATTTTGATCAAACTTAAAAGTGCTTATAAGCTAAAAATTCATAAGTTGGGGGTGACCAGCTTATGACTTTTTAGCTTATTTTTGACTTATAAGCACTTGACTTATATGCACTTTTAACTTTACCAAACGCGTAGATAAGCCGAAAAGTGCTTATAAGCTGATAGATATAGAAATATAAATATAGATATAGATATAGATTATTAGTCTCTAGTACTCAAAAACTTTATCAAAATACTCGTAGTTTACTAATATTATTATTTTTTAAAAATATTTTTCACATACCAATGAAACACTAAAAAACATCTTCAAAAAAGATATTTTTCATAAAAAACATCAGCTACTTGGTAGTTGGTAGTTGACTTCTTTCCACTTTTAGCCACCTACCATCTTTATCTCACTTCTTTAACTTTCATATAAACAAAAATCAGCAACCATTCTCCGATCATAACAACCGGCAAAAAATGGAAGTAATCATCCACGAAACCACCACAATCTTCCCTTCTAAGCCGCCTTTCTCCGAAAATCATGTCCTCCCTCTCTCCCACCTTGATACCGACCGCAACCTCAATCTCACTTTCCGTTACCTCCGTGTCTACGTCAACCACACAACACAACAATTGGACCCATATGAAGTTCTCACCTCCTCCCTTTCCGCCGCTCTCGTCCCCTACTACCAATTCACCGGCTGTCTCCGTCGTCGTCCGTCGGACAACCGCCTAGAACTTCACTGTCAAGTAGGGAGTGGCATTCCTGTAATTCTGTCCACAGTTGATTGTACCTTGGCCTCTATTAACTACCTGGATGATCCAGATTATGAGTTTGCTGAGAAGTTGGTACCCGACCCGAGAGATGACGAGGCATTGAACCGACCTTTGATTCTGCAGCTGACCCGGTTTAAGTGTGGTGGGTGGGTTTTCGGAACGGCGGTTCACCACGCGATGTGTGATGGCATGGGATCCACGCTGTTTTTCCATGCTATGGCGGAGATTGCTCGTGGAGGAAATGGGATGAAGGTTGAACCGGTTTGGAACCGGTCGAGTTTGCTTGGACCGAAGAACCCACCGCAAGTTGAGTTCCCGGTTCATGAGTTTCTGAGTTTAGATAAGGATTTATCGCCGTATTTGGAGTCAGGTAAACCGGCGGTTCGAGAGTGCTTTGAGGTGAAGGATGTGTGGTTGGATCGGCTTAAGGGGTTTCTAAATGAGCAGTCCGGTTTAAAGTATACAACTTTTGAAGCTTTGGGAGCTTTCATTTGGCGAGCAAAGTATGTCTTTTTCCCTTTATTCCAAGTTTTAATGTGTTTGGGTTTTTTATTTTACTTTTTTATCATGAAATTCAGGAGTCTTAATCATTTTCTTTTTATTATGTACTCCATTTATAGATGAAAGCTCTTCTAATAAATGATCATGTTCGAATAAAAAGGGATGCTTAGGTTGATGATCACTGCTAAATCGGCTTAGTTATTTGATTAAATGTCTACAGATGAAATGCCATTGAATAATCTAGTGTTTTTAGTATGTCCAATCGAGGTCACCTCAAATTCTTAAAGTTTAATTTGTTCCTTAATTTTTCTTCTCCCTTGTCATTGTCCTTTTGTACTCACCAGTAATTTTAGAAAGGAAAAAAAAAGGTATATGCAGACCCTTGATATAATAATAGTTAGCTGATATATCTTGGGAGGGATTCACTTATTATTATATGCACAAAAATGGTGTCATTTGAAGAAATTGGTAGTCATATGTTAACTGTCTAGCCTAGGGACTGATCTGTTAATGCTTGTGAAACAGGGCAAAGGCTTCTAAAATCCCAGGTGCTGAGATAGTGAAGTATGCCTATCTAACCAATATCAGAAGAACAGTGAAGCCAGCATTGCCAGCAGGATACTGGGGCAATGGTTGTGTGCCAATATACGTGCAGCTCCTTGCAAAAGACCTCATCAATCAACCTATTTGGAAAACAGCAGACGCGATCAAGAAGAGCAAGAGCATCATCACGGATGAGTATGTTCGTTCGTTAATTGATTTCCAGGAGCTGCATTATGATGAAGGGATTACAGCAGGGAATAGGGTGAGTGCATTTACAGATTGGCGGCACGTAGGCCACGAGACAGTTGATTTTGGATGGGGAGGTCCTGTGACTGTCTTCCCTCTGTCTAGGCACTTAGTTGGGAGTGTTGAACCTTGCTTTTTCTTGCCTTATTCTTCTGCTACTGAAGGTAAGAAAGATGGTTTCAAAGTTTTGGTTTGTCTGCAAGAAGAAGCCATGCCTGTTTTCAAGGAAGAGATGAAACAATTGGAGCATGGCCTTTCTTGATTTACTATATATACAGGTCCTCTATAGGGATATTATGTAATATTACCATGAGCATAAATTTTGTGGAGGGCAGAAATAGCAATAAACTAAGACAAAATAATTATGACTTAATTTGTAACTTAATTTCTTTTCTTTGCAATAGCAAAGTTTTTCACAGTCATATTGCAATAAGCTTGTTTAATTTCTTACGTTATATACTACTCCTATAAGGTTTGCGTTTGTACCCACCATGGGGTTGCAAGATTCACCAGGATTTATTCAGTTAATTTAAATCTGTGCTAGTTCTTAATGATTATATTTACCTTTGGAGAAATTTTACATGAAACTAGAAAGTTTACACTACATCAACCTAAAAATGATTTACTCTGTCAAAGGATAAAAACTTAAATTCATATACGAATGCAATATTGGACTAGTTCTTAGTTTTTGTACATATGGCTTAGTTAATCATGACATGTTTTCACTTAAGTTAATCATGAGCTAATTAAGAGCTTTAGGTGGCTTGCTTACGTGAGTGTAATATGTAGTATTACAGGTAAAACAATGACTACATGGCGATAAGTGTTTTATAACTTCCAAAAAAAAATATTAACCTAAATAGCAACTCATTTAATCGCTTAAATTTAAAATAATCGGAAGCATAATATATATATATATATATATATATATATATATATATATATATATAAAATTCATGTATGGTATGTGTATAATTGCATATAATTGATTGTCACACCTCCTTTTTTACACATTTACTCCGAAGGATAATGTATAAGGGAGTTTTTCCACTTTAAGTGACATTATTCGAAATGAGATTATTTATTTGTTTTTAGAGTCGCCACTTGGGATAGGATCGGCTTTCGGTGCCCCAAGTCACCGGTTTAACTTGAATCCCAAATCGAGGAAAATTTCGACTTCCCAATTGGAGTTTGCGAACCAGAAATTCTGAATAAGGAATTCTGTTGACCCGAGGGAAGGTGTTAGGCACCCTCGGATCCCGTGGTTCTAGCACGGTCGCTTAAATTATTAAAAATGGCTAAAATCTGAATTTTATACATGTTCCAACCAATAGTGCAATTTTAAGATTATTTACCGCTTTTAGTTAAATTTTAAGAAAGTGAACGTCGTTTAAAAACGTATTTTCGGATCACGTCACATGAAATGCACCGGAGCCTCAAAACATTTTTATTCAACGTTTTTGGATTTGGATTTGGGTCGCATGAAATGCACACCCGTATTTAGGAAGGTAAAATTATTAAAAGGCGCGCCTAAAGCAACTAACGTGTTATTAACTTGTGCGGGAGGCCATGAAATTTCACTAAATGGCACGTCCCGAATTCTAAGTATTTTAATATGAACATTTAAAGAGGGCCACACAATTTATGAATTTTATTTGGCTCAGCGCACCTCATTTTTATTTTAAAAGGCCAACCTAAAAGAACTACAATTTTCTATTAAAGATTGTCTCTAAAAGAGAAACCTAATTAATTAGTATTGTGAACTGCTATTATTAAAAGTAATCAAGGACATTGGGCCTCAAGTTCAAGTCCACACTTGAACAAAAGGAAAACCTCTTAATTCAAGTGTGCTACTTAACTAGGAAAGCCCAAGACCTATGTCACAAAATTAATCCCACGACCTTAACACGATTTCGAGACTTCAGCATTTCATTTGAACTTGGCCCAACAGAACAAAAGTGAACTCATTTTTTGCGGACTACCACTAGCCTTGGGCCTCGATGCAAACCCAAATGGGAAGGTAACCCTGGGCCTATGGACGAGCCCAAACAAATTATTGAAAACAGTTTCCAGCAATTGGATTCATTAATTGGGATAACAAACAAAGGGAAACAGTTTCCAGCAATTGGACTCATTAATTGGGATAACAAACAAAGGGAAACTCCAAATTCAATACGACTATCAATTTAATTCTAATTTGCCACTCAGATCTTAACTTATTATGACATAGAACAAAGGGAAACATTTAGAGGATGTGACAGATGAACTAACGTAATCAGACTCAGTTATGATATAGAAATTGCTGTTTTGATTTCAAAACTCAAATGTAAAAGGGGGCATGTGGAGTGTTTGGCTGAACTTAGCACACATGCTCATACACCTCGAAATTTACAGACAAAACTGAAATGCTTAACATCAAATTCAGGGATCCTATTTTTATTGAAATATAATTTTTTTTTCATTTTTCCTTTGAATCAACATGCTGAAATTTAGGTTTAAACCTAACAGCTAAACTAACAGACTTATCTATATGAATTATGATTATGCATGCTCATATTATATCTACAATCTAATTAAAAACATGAAAACTTGAACAAACAACCTTAACCAAATTAAATCTACTATCAATAAACACTACATTTCATCATGCTGAAATTCAAAACAGTCCAAAGCAGTCTAAACGGTCCAGACAGTCCTAATTATACAATCATCAGGAGTCAAACATCAAATGCTAACATATGAACTAACATAATCTACAATTAATATCAGTTATACAGTCCAATTATACAATCTAGTTGTACGGTCCCGCTATATGCAATTAATATCAAATGCTACTACTACATAACCCATCATGTGAAATGCTACTACTACATAACCCATCATGTGAACTAACAGGTGCATAAATAAGCTAAACTTGAAATCGACATGAGTAATTGGTCATTTATTCAGCAATTCGAATACAACTGTGGATTTAGTCCTTCACACATTTGAAGTTGAAGAATACCTGGAATTAAGGCAAATGAGAGAAGAAGGAGTCAGCAGTGGCAAGCAAACAATTAGCAATTGAAACCAGCAGCACGGGATCGATTTTGGACTCAAAATAGCCTCACAACAACCTAGGAAGGAATGACAAGGGAATAGCAGCAACAAAATAACCAAAACAAGCTTAATTGAACCTAAGTTGACTCGAAATTAAACCCAGGACCTTCTGCAGTTTCAGCACCCGGACACAAGGAATATTTCAGCTATTTCTATCCCTATTTAAGCTGGAAACTCAAATCAACACCCAGAGCTTGAAACTAAACTAAGGAACTTTAATAGAAGAGCATTTTTTGGAGTTTTTCTGCTATATTTGGTTTTTAGAAGGTTTCAGATCAAGGAGGGAGTCTCACACTCTCAAATTTTAGCTTTTTGTCTTTGAATTTGAAATTCAAAATTTTTTAGATGTTCAAACTTGTGAAACAAGGCAGTAAAGACTGCCTTTTATAGGCAGAAACAGGGCAGGAAGGTTCTGGAATTCCTTCACTCAATTTCCCCCCTTTTTATTTTCAGATTTTGTTCATTAGCCCCTAATATTTTGACTTGTTGCCTAAGTTATTATCCTAAGTTCTTGAAATTATAGCTAAAGCCATATTCTAGAAGATTCTAGGGGATTCTATCTTAATCTACAGTATTCCTATCCATCTCTAAATACCTAGATTACCCCTGGACTCCCCTGAAATTACTAACCTAATACTAAACCAAACCTCAAACTCTTTTACCCTAGTTACAGATTACCAGCTATAACCAAACAGTTTAAACTTTGAACTAACTAATCTAATTGGACTCTAATTTTAATGAACACTAATACCTCATGGTCAAAACAGTGAATTAACCATTATCTAACAAGTAAAAATAAAAACTAAAGTAGAATTCCTATCAACAGCACACAATCATGCATCAAAGTCGAACATGCAGAAATATGAATCAACAGAATCGAAATTAGTGATAAGAAAACTGGACAGAAAACAAAAATCAAATTAAACTAAACTACTCAATAAAGTAAAAATTAAGGAACTAACCACTGAGTTAAACCAACAATATCATAACAAAAATCAAAACAAAACTAAAAATCAGAAATTATGCGAACTAACTCAAAATCAAAAACGAAAATTAAACTAGGAATTAAAACTATGGAAACAGAATCAATCAAGAAAAAAAATGTAATCAAACAAAGGGAAGGAACTCACTGATTTTGGTCTTCTATTCGATTGATTCTCGAAATTGGTTTTTGTTAATGTTATATGCTTATTTTGTTAAAAATAAAATATATAACATTAATAAAATCATTCGAGTACTGAAACTCCCAAAACAGTGTTGAAACTTGAAAACCCTAGATCTAAAATTTGTAGGGTTTCGCTTGGATTTGAAGGATTCTAGTTGCGGATTTAGGAAAAGGAAGGTGAGTGGAGTATATGGTATTAATTTGGGGCCATTTGGATGTGGCGCCGCCATGGGCGGCAGAGGCGGCGTCACTGTTTTGAATATTCGAAAAGATGGGCTATGAATTGAGGGAAAACATTTGGGGCGTTGGAAAGAGGAGGGGAAGAGGAGTCGAGGGTGTAAATTTGGGCGAGTTTGGAGACCGTCCGCCGCCGTGAGGCGATTTCCGGCGGCAGTTCGCGGCGGAAGACGGTGAGGGTTAGGGTTTGAGTGTGGGGTAATGAGAGAGACGGAGAAGGGGGGTAGGGGGGATCTCCGACCGTTTTATATTAAAATGTCCCTAGTTCCTGACCGTTGGATCAAGGATCCTCGACGGCCAGGATCTAGCGTGACAAAACGACGCCGTTTTTGAATTAAAATGGGCGGACCGGTTGAGGGTATGGATCTGGGCTGATTTTGAAGTGGGTTTGGGGTCTGGGCTTGAGTTTTTGAACAAAGATGGCCCAATTCCGGGTCCCTTATCAAGAAGACTTCCTTTTCTTTTAAAATTCTTTTATTCAAAATTATTTATTTTATTTTGATTTTGATTTTGTTGGATAAAAATAGACCTGATTTAAATCTACAATTGAACTAATTAAATTTCCTAAGATTAGCTATATCCTAATTTTAAGAGAAAAATTAAACAAAAGTGAAATTAAAGGAACAAAAAAATGTGAAAGGATTATTTTTGTTATTTTTTCTCTTATTTTCAATGATGTTTAATTAATCTAAAAAAATCTAGAATTGGGTCCTAGATGCCAGTATGCTATTTTGTAATTTTTCTTTTCATTTTTTATGACAATTAAAAATGCACATAAAAATGCAAACAAAACACAAAATCATGCAATTAATTCCTAAAATTCAAATACTAAAAGAAAAATTCTAATTTTAATAAATTCTATAGGAGTAATTTAAACAAGGCAAAAATCACGTGCTCACAGCTGCCCCTCTTTGCTCGGAAACACGAAGGGTTTTCGGGCAAAGATAAATGAGC